AAACACCACCGCCATTTCTGTGGCTACAGCAAAGGAAACACAGTCCTTGGGAGCAAGGGACAGAGATGACAAGATCTCCCGAGTGACCCTCACTGCCAGGGGCCTGGGCACAGCAAGGGCCGTTGGAGGGTGAGAGCTGTCACGGCCCAAGTGCAGGCCCCGCTGATGGACGCTGCTCCATCCCGGCGTGCTCAGAGGCACAGCTGCCCCTGGCACCCAGCACCACCGGGGTGCAGCTTCTACCACACAGAATTTTTCCTTGTATAGAGCTTCTAAACCTCAGCTCAGGGCTTGTTTCATTTGAGCACATTTATTTCCAGCCACTTGCTCCCCGTGTCCTGGAGCACTTGTGCAGGTTTAACGAGCAGGCCAGACAGAGGTTCATGAGATCTTGCCTGCTGCTGTTGCTCCAGGCAGCATCTTTACCTGCTGCTGCCATTTCTGCAAAGGAAGGTCTGGCTGCAGCCAAAGGTCCACCCCGGGTACAGCTGGGAGGGATTCCTGACCCATTCCCAGGACTGTTCTCATCCGAGGAAGAGGAGGCTGCTGGATGCTAGTGCTTTTCCTTGAACAAAAGGGAAACGCGTTGGATTAAAACAGCCTAGTGTCTCACCTAAGAAGCCTTTTTCAACCATGAGCTTGAACAGCTCAACGTTGCCTCCTCCAAAGCGCTCGCCAAAGGCCTTGCCGAGGTCCTCGGCCACGTGCGTGGCCACATCCACACCCACCTCGTCGATCAGTGTGGCAGCACCCACGGGAAAGCCAAAGGCTGTAGAGATGGCATCTACTTTCTTTGGGTCGATGCCCTCCTGCAGGAACATAAAGGGAAGCAATGATGTCTCTGGGTGAGGGTCCTGGAAACCCAGTGTGGGGGCAGAAAGCTGCTGCTCATCTGGGGTCGCAGACCACGACCAGCCCCATTAGCTGTTTGATTACAGACAGGAGCAGTGTCATCGTGCCTGAGTCACTCCTGACTCTGCCCTGGTGCCGCATGGGGAGGAAAGAGCCTCATCACTGCCTGCACCGGGTCTCATCAGCCCACGGCTCAGCCAAGAGCAGGCTGAGGACCACCATGGGCACCACGTCCCTTCCTGGCCTGGGCTGGGGTCACCCTGACGGGGGGCAAGGAAGAAGCGGAGTTTATACGACTTATTTGGCAGACGCTCGGTAGCCGCCGGGATACCCACCTGGAGAACTCGGACCACTTCTGCCAGCATCGGCCCCAGGCACCTGGTGGTGTAGAAGCCAGGCCCATCCTAGGAAAGAGGAGTTGGCAGGTGAGTACCAGCTGCAGGAACATGACCTCTCTTGGCAGCACAAGAACTGCATCTCACAACCCAGGCTGCGGTTCAGGCACTGACGCGGAGGGCAAACATGCTGAACTCCACTTCTAACAGCATGTTATCGACTGCTAGAATAGTTTTTTTTTCCTGTAGGGCTCAACAGTGTTTGAAGAATTCCATGAACTTAACGCCCTGGAAGTTCCCATCAGAATGTCTGTACTGAAAATAGTTTTTACTGAAAATAGGCAGGCTGCAGAAGTCATCTTGCTTCACCAAGCCCAAAAGGCCGATTTGGGGAAAGGGTGATCAACACAAGCGAAACAGGCATAAACTGGACGTCTCGCCTCTGATATTGCTCACAAAGTTGGGAAAGCAACAGATTAGCTGCAAGCTGCCATTCAGGGAAGCCTCTGCTGTGGGATGAGGGTTAGAGGAGCAGCACTGTATCTCCACTGGCCTTCAGACGCCGTGAGCACTTTTGGACAAGCCAGTTTTCCCAGCACCACAGGAGAGACCTGCTCAGCACTGCCAGCAACCTCACGCATCAGTGAAAAGACCAATCCAAAAATACACTCCAACTGCCCTGAGCCTCTGGCTGAACCTCCCACACAGCTGAAACGGCGTCGCTGATGCTTCCTACCATGGAGCACGAGCCCAGCTCTGTTTGGAGGGCTGTGTGTTCAACAGCAGCCATCAGCCTAACAGACCACTCACAGCCCATGCCTTTTCTGAGGCTCTGCTGCCTCCTCCCTACAGATCACAACAGTTTGTTCTAACCTGCCTCGCTGTGCTCAGTCTTCTCCCTCTGCTTGGTATGGCTCTTGCCATACACTAGCACGTATATTTCTACCCCCTCACCCAAGATTTAAGACCAGGAAGAGGAGGGTTACTGCTCACAGGCCCCTCCATCCTTGCTGTTTGCTGGGGAGAAGAGGTGGCGAGAGTCCTGTCCAGACTCCGCTCCATCTTGGATGCCAGTCCACATTTCAGTCTTCTGGAAGTTGCGTGGAACAGGACTGCCAGCTCCTCGTGCTGGCCATCACTGTTCCTGTGCTTTCTGGCCATTCATGCCTGCTCCAAAGGACGTCTGAGAGATCACCTGAGCACCTACCGCCTTCTAACCTCCACTTCTACTTCTCAGCACAAGTAGCTAATGCCCGTGTATTCACGGCCATGTTTCAGCCTCCTCTCAGTGCACAAGCGTGCCCTTTTCTTTATGATCCCAGCTTGTATTTTGTACGGCGTTCCCTCACCTTTACCACGATGACGACCTTGCCCTGTTTGAGGCCAACAGCAACAGCAGAAGCGGCCGTGTCCTGGGACGTTTTGTCTGTGGTGATGATTTCCAGCAGCTGCATTTTGTCAACAGGGGAGAAGTAGTGCATCCCGATCACCTAGGCAGAAGGAAGAGCTCAGGGTTAAGCAGGTTTAAGACAGGCTTTGGCTCCCAGAGTAATGTGCCGGGCAAGCCAAGTGCCCAAGCGCAGAGGGAAACAGCCCAGTATGCGCTGCAGGACCCACCACCACAGCGCACCACCCGTTCAGCCGCACACTGCACTGTATTCCTCTGACGGGAGCACTCTCCAACTCCCTTTCCCTCCTGGGCTTTCCCAAGGACGCAGCACACGCTCAGAGCTCTTGCCTCAGTGAGGATTTAGGTACAATGCTTACAGGACCAAGAGTGCTGCTCAGCTCCCTCTGTACCTGTGTCCTGGTTTCAGCTGAGAGGATTGATCTTCTTCATAGTAGCTAGTGTGGGGATACGTTTTGGATTTGTGCTGGAGACAGCATTGATAATATAGAGATGTTTTTGTTCTATGGACTTAGTGTTGAGCAGTGTTTACACGGGGCCAAGGCCTTTTCTGCTTCTTGCACTGCCCTGCCAGCGGGATGGCTGGGGGTGGACAAGAAGTTGGGAGGAGACACAGACAGGACAGGTGACCCAAACTGACCAAAGGGATATTCCACACTATATGACGTCATGCTCAGTTTATAAGGAGCTTGGGGGAAGAGAGGGGGGGGGGCAGTGGCATTCGGAGCACTGGCGTTGGTCTTCCCAAGTAACCATTACGCGTGATGGAGCCCTGCTTTCCTGGAGATGGCTGAACACCTGCCTGCCCATGGGAAGTGGTGAATGAATTCCTTGCTTTGCTTTGCTTGTGCGCGCGGCTTTTGCTTTACCTATTAAACTGTCTTTATCTCAACCCACGAGTTTTCTCACTTTAACTCTTC